AAAACCTTAGCACTGAAATAGTCGGGGCCTACCCAGATCATCTTTCCTCGATTCATGGAAATAACAAGCCTGGGGCAGTGCAGGAATCCATGGGATTTTTTGTTGTGTAAACGTTATAAATATATGAAAAAAAAGAAATAAATAGAAAAGTTGTAATAAATAAAATCAAATATAAATCTTTTAAAACTTGCTCATAGATGTAAATGAGTCGAATTGTTCAACATTTGTTAATTTTTTTGTGCTTATTAGTTCTATATGTAAGTTTTAGGTGATAGACAATAGTTATTTGTACTTTTATCTTTGTAAGTTAGAATTTTTATTTTTATTTAAAAAAAAAATCTTGATTATTATAATTTTAAATGACTTTTTTATATTTCATTAGTTTTGGAATATAATATATAAATATCATATTACATATATAAAATTATAATTATTTTCATTATTTAGTAATTAAACTCAACTGAGAAATTAATAGGTAATTTAGAGATAAAATAATGAGTGATTTTTGAAAAAAAAAAAATATGGACTAACAAAACTACTACATAAAAATTTAATGTTTAAGAAGAAATACAGAAAAATTGTTATATTGCAATGTAAAATCTAAAAGCAGGTATTCTACTGAAAATTTCAAAAGATGTTTCATTGGTATAACTTTCATTAGAAAATTTAATGGGTAATTCAAACAAATATTAAATTAAACTACATTGGAATTTTAATGAATAATGATTCCAATTAACATTATTTATTGTTGTGTGAATTTTTGTTAATTTTATTTTTTGGACCGTGTTTCATCCGGTTGCAAAACTGTCATTGGAATTGTAAAAAATAATGTGAGTAAACTAATGGCATATTTAAAAAAAAAATCATATTGGGAAAATATTTAGTTCATAGAAAACGAATACCATCAAAATAACATAATGTCATTACAGTTTATAAATTATTATTTTCATATTTGTCATCTTTCTCATTCGTAATATATTTTTAATTTTTAACACAACAGTACAATCACAATAAGTTCAAAATATTTAAGAGAAAAAACATATTTTTTTTTTCAATTCAACATAAGAAAGCCATTAAAGATAATATATTTTTTAAATTTTTTATGAATAAAAAAATTATATTGTAGTATAGTTGACTCAACTCGACTATATAATTGATGAATTTATAAATTATAAAACATATAGCTATAATTTTAAATACATTAGTTAAAAAAGATATAAAAAATATATATTTTGAAGTTAGAGAAAACATTATGTTGTAAAAAAGGATAATAGAGTTATCATCAAGATTAAAAAATAGAATTTGAGAGTAAAACTATAATTTTGAGATTTTATCATGTTTTCTTTCTTGTGATATCGCATTTAGGTTATAACTTTAATAAAGTTATGAGCTGAATTAAATTATAATTGGTTGAAGTGTAAAGTAACTCAATATATATTTTTCTTTTCTTTAATTTTTCTCAAAATAGAGGACATAATTAAAATTATTACTACCACAATTATTTTTAGATACCTTATCCTATATGTTTTGGGATGAAGGTCTGACCTATAAACATTGACATTCTCATGCTTCGAACAAAATATTTTTGTCAAAAATTTTCATTGGAAAATTCAAAAGGGAGTTATAACATTGAAATATTCGTTAGATTGTTGTTGAAATTCAACTGTAACATATTTTCGTTGAAATTTTATCATTTTTCTTGTAGTAAAAGTAGGGTTCTAAATCTCTAAAAAATTACATTATATATAATATTGCGTGCAACTAGTTATTATGAAAACTATTAATAATGATAGAAAATATAACACGTTTAATATAATTTTCATTTAATTTATGATAATTAGTAATTTTTTTAAAAACAAACAAGATACATCTAGGTTAAAAAGTCTTTAATTATTTTATTAGTATTATAGTAACTAAACAAGGGGTAAGAATGATGTTCTACGTAATAAAAATGTAAGACTAGGCAATGAGAAAACATATAGCTCGCATTCAATCCATAAGGAAAAAAGAAAGTGATAAAACTAATTAAGGTCCTATATCAGTTGGAGCTTTTTTTTTTTT